CGTCCCACCATTAGACGAATTTACATTACGCACGTGATCCACATCCCACCACTGGATGGATCTACACTACAGGGTAATCCAACTTAACTATCAAGTAACACAACCCTAACCGACCCCACGCCTGGCTTAACAATATAGATATCGAAGTAGAACTCGACGGTACAGGTATCAAAGTGGAAAGGGTAACAGAGACTCTTAACGGTTTCGTTGAACTTGTGACATCAATACATATTGCTAACCATATGAAGAGCTACATTTGTCATTCCTGGATGTCGTGGAGGTTTACTAGGTTATTAAGGACGTTTAGGCAGTTTGAATCTTATCTCTCGTTTTTAGGACGTTTGGGGTTAGCTTCTCGGTACTAATCCAATCTTGAGATGCACATGAGTTTAAACCTCATATCGCTCTCGATCCAAGGGTGTAATGTCGACTGAAAAAAGTACTGACCTAGGTCATTATGTAAACCGCACTAGCTATTGCGCCCTAATCTTAACTTAGCTCACTTGTACATGCTTTGCTAGAGAGATTGCCCTCTCGATCACCTAGAGCATGGTTTACATAATTTAGAAATTCGTGCAAGCTAATTAGGGAGATCTTATCGATCACCTAAAGCACGGAAAACATTAACTAAAACATTCATGAAAACGAAACCAAGCCCTCACATGCATGAGTTCATAACTCCATTAAGATCATGTCGCATATGATCATCATGTGAATATTAATATTCTCAATTAACGAATTTATAAAGAGAGATTAAATATTTCTCGGTCCAGTCTTATACAAACTCATTGTATATGATACCCCCAATTACATGTCTCCACATGAACGATTTGGATCAAATCATTTGTACCAATTACAAAGTAGGCCGTACCAATAGTCTTACTAGGATAAGGCACCCAACCTTATCCATATACTATAAATTCTTTAGATTATTACTTGAACATGATCCTCTTATATATCAACTATATACTATTCAAGATTACATTAATAACCTTGGATTTTCATACCATGGATAACAATTAAATTACAAATAAAATAATAAAGATTATTGTTAAAAACTAAATAATTAATTATGAGACTTTAGGATAGAAATCTCAACATTGCTACCATAGTATCAGACCTTCGTGGGGCTAAGGACCTCTCGTGTCTTCCCACCATATCTTTATGTGCTTCTACAATATAAACAACGCACATGACACCTTCTGATCATTTGGATAGTTCATCAACCGAAAAATTATCTCCATCAACGACAGTCGTAGTTGTGCCACCGTCGAATCATCCAAGGTCCCGTTAAAGGTACGAGGGTCGTACCTTCTAAAATCCCATAGGTACCTTGCCTAGCACACTAACATCTTATTATTGGCCTATCGGGTGGCCGCCACGATTTGCATCACGTTCTGAAATGCCTCTCGTATCAGGGTCGTTATGGGGTCTACTCCAGCTATAGGCGCTGCTAGGGGTGGCACTTCTGCATCAATTCGAGTCACCGATCCCTCTCAAATTGGACTTCTTCTACCCCTATCACATTCTCTTGCCGGAGGTCATCCTCCTCTAAGTCCTCTTCCACGTCCTCTTGGTGGCATGATATATAACCAACATATAATCTATTAAGTGTACAACCCTCAACATATAAGCATACCATATATATCATTATATCACACATGATTCAAACATCAATAGCATTCACATAACCATTTATTATCTTTTGTATGGCATACCTGACGACAACAGTGCATCAGTAGTGTGGCCATGGAAACATGTTGAGCCTACCTCGTAGGATGGTCTACATAATCTATAAACTTAGGCTCTGATACCAACTATACTGATCTTATTTTTCACTATAATAAAGTCGCTACTACATGCACGACATGACCAATGCATGCGAAAAACTTTCATTTAAAATATCTCACAAAAGATGCCCTAGACTTAACATTTAAAGATAAATTCTTTAAAACAATGTACTCATAAATAAAAAAGCAGAAAATCAACGACATAAATTAAATAAAATAAACCAAACTTTGAACTAACCTATGGGCTACTAAGCAGAAATAAATGCGACTGCCCTAACTCTAGGTCCATGGCCATCATCGCGACACTGTTTTTCGGATTGGGTGTCTTACCCTTACCTAAAAGATAAAAGTAGCACATGATTTAAGTATTTTAAGAAATACTTAGTAAATAATCTCACTCTTCGAGTTGGAAAATACAAACACATGCAATGTGGTGGGACATATCCTTTCAAAAGCATCATAGCATGGCCTAAGGAATTTTTTTAAACCTGACAAGGTTGCATGTGTAGTACTTTCCTACACACGACCGATGCACGTGTACATGGGCCCACCAGGGGGGCTCGCGTACCCCTTGGTTCTGCTCGGGCTAGCACTTGCTAACGGACTGCCAGACACTAGGGAGGAAAAGGGTCTACATAAAATCATAGCAAACATAAATTTCATATGGTATGCATCCCTACTAATCATAACGGAGAAGTATTCTGATGCATATGAAGCACAAAAATGCATGAGGTCCACGTAGCTTACAATCATGACATAAATTTTTTATGCAAATCAAACCATTCATTTATAAAATAATGAATCTATGAATTGTGCTTATATAATTCATGTCAAATCTATTGTAAGAACATAGCTTACATGGCCTGGTGTATAGAGGTTTATGTATCATGTCAATAACATAACATATCACCACAAAATGGAATAGTCACACTATAACATATCTTATAAACATGACATAGCATAATATAACATAACATAACATAAAAATCATAATTATGACACGTGCAAAGGTCACAAGACATGCATTGTCATACATAATACAATTCATCCAACCAAGCCAACAGTAGAGCTACTTACTTGGTTGGCCTAGGGCAGCGTTGTGAGATCCCACATTGATTGGAGAGGAGAACAAGACAATCCTTATCAAGGTGTGGAAACCTCTCCTTAGTTGACGCATTTTAAATCGTGAGGCTGACAGCGATAAGTAACGAACCAAAACAGACAATATCTGCTAGCGGTGGACTTGAGTTGTTAAAGATGGTATGAGAGTCAAACACCAGGCGGTGTACTAGCGAGGACGTTGGGCCCCCAAGAGGGTGAATTTTGTCGGTGTGCCAGTGAGGGCATTGGATCCCCTAGGGAGGCAAATTGTGAGATTCCACATCAATTGGAGAGGGAAACGAAACATTCCTTATGAGGGTGTGAAACATCTCCCTAGTAAACACGTTTTAAAGTCGTGAGATTAACGACGATATGTAATGAGCCAAAGCGGACAATATCTATTAGTGGTGGGCTTGGGTTGTTACACGTGTCACTAACAATCCTAAAGTTGTTTCAAATCTGATTTCAATTCTATATGACCTACGATACCGAGTTAGGACATGATATACAATTTAATTTATCCAATCGTGTCAACTAATTCATTTTCTAGTTAAAAAGTGACTTACATGGACCAAATAAAGGCCATATTGACCTCAATGGGTCCCAAAAGCGTCATAAACAACTTTAGAATGGTCCAACATGTTAGGATCTATTGGGATTTATGTCATAAACCTCCTAATTAATTATTTAATTTTTAATAATAGTTTTTATTATTTTATTTGCAATTTAATATTATCTATGGTATGAAAATTCAAAGTTATTAATGTAATCTTGAACATTATGTAGTTTGACATACAAAAGGATTGTATTCAGTATTCAAGTAATAACCTAAAGGGTCTATAGTATATGGATAAGGTTGGGTGTCTTATCCCAGTAAAACTATTGATACGACCTACTTTGTAATCGTTACAAATAATTTGATTCAAATCATTCATGTGATGTGAAGACATGTAATTGGGGGTATCCTATAGAATGAGTTTGTATTAGATTTGACAAGAAATATTTAGTCTCTATTTATAAATCCGTTAATTGAGAAGATTAATATTTCCCATGATGATCATATGCAACTTGATCTTAGTTCTAAGTGAGTTATGAACTTCTACGTGTGAGGGCTTGTCCTCTATTTTGCATGGGTAAGAAGACTCTCGATTCAATATGCCTACTATTTTGGGGACGGGCTAAATAGGGGGTTGGGAACATAATATCATGAGATGGAGCTCACTCATCTCCATAGAAGAAAAGTAGATGCGTTGTTCTCTTAAGTACTTATTTCGGACTTGAACAATGGGCCTCACTCTCTCATTGGCTAGAAGGGGCTGGGTTTATGATTGGATCATAAACAAATTGTTCATTAAAAAATCAGTGATACTTAAGGTGAAAGATGTAATTACAGGGGTGAAACTTAGCTTCTCAATTCTCTTTTGTTGTCGTTGTTGTGAAAAGAGCATACATCTCAAGAGTATTTATATCGGACAAATCACTAACTAGCTCTCTAAACTTTCTCATCAAGTTAAGAACTACTAACGATCTTCCATAATTAAAAAATTTACTAATTGAAGCACAAAAGTTCGTCCACAATTTAATAATAGTACAAATTCTTCTATAATTACTCCATAATTTAGTAACTACTACCAATTCTTCTATAGTTACTCTATAAATTAGTAATTTATTCTACCGAATCTACTAAAAAATTTCTTAAACCTACTTTATAAGTTAGTAACTTATTCTATTAAGTCAAGTTTATTAGCTCACAATTTTGAGGTTGAGGGGTCAAATCCATAAATTAGTAATTTATTCTACCGAGTCTACTAAAAAATTTCTTAAAGCTGCTCTATAAGTTAATAACTTATTGTATTAAGTCAAGTTTATTAGCTCACAGTCCAGAGGTGGAGATGTCATAATCTAAATTTTGACCTGGTCTTATAAGTACTTTTTTGTGATGAAGATATAAATTATGTGACCTGTATTCATGATATAGCTATTGGCGGGAACTAATAAATTGCGACAATCAACTTTTGGTTGGCTGCCAATTTGTGGAATTTCAGGTTCCCCACACCCAAAATCTTCACTCACTCTCCACCTGCTACAACCAATATACTCAAAAAGTACGCATAAAATAATTCTTTCTTTGCATTTCTAATCTAACAGATTGAACACCGCAAGTTTTTGCAAAATTGCTATACATATTACAACAAATAAATAAACACATTTCAAACATTCTGAATCATCACTCACTCATCTTTGTCATCTTCATCGTAGTTGAAAGGCAAAGGCACTGATTTGAACGCTCTGTATTTTCCAACATTGTTCAAATGCTCGTTTTCAATCCTGTATCATAATCAAAAACATATTTATATACGTACATTACCCTTCAACAGAAACATGATATACAATCAAAGTTCAAATACCTGAAGAAGTTCCATATCCCTCGACGAATGATCTCTAAGCTAGCCACGATCGTAATCAACCCTTCTCTGTGCAAGAATGAGACTTGGAAGTTCAACACAGTTTGCATCCAAGCAAGTCTCAGCACCACGTTCAAAGCCTGCAATGTTGTCATTTACTTTTAGAAATGGCCAAAAACAACACAATTGTTTTCTGGTTGAGTATGTCACTCACCATAGCAATGAAGTATATGCTCTTTTGAGGGACCAGGAGTTTGTCTCTCAACCAGCGGTTCTTCGAATGGCGTTGCAGAAGCCCCCAGTCAATGACGAGGTCCCAGTACGTGCCCGACACGGCTGCTATCACTGAAAATATCCAAGCTAGTACATACCAAACATACAAGCTTTTATTCAGACTGTATGCTGTCCTGAAGCAAACAGCAGCTATAGCAAACGAGTATTTCAATCCATTCAGGGCGTGCATTTTATCCTTCTCTTCATACAGCCGACGAAGACACTGCAAAATTACAAAAGAATAAATGATATTAAGCTCGAAACGTCTATGTTCAGATAGCCTGTGAGAGTTCCTTGTGTTTTTTCTACAATGCTAAGATATTATGGCAAGATTGGAGTACCTGTTGAAGGCGTGCCCAGTATGGAATAACGGCAACAATGAAACTGAAGGTTTGGAATACAGCGCTGGCCTTGCAAGTGTTTACTCTAATTCTGTAATCTCCCCACCCATAATAGCAAATGTAAAATTCCAAACTTCTGAGTGCTTGGACCTGGCTTGTTAACTGATCAGCTAAGAAGAAGTCAGGGAGCACCACCTGAAACAACGCATTTGTTTTAGTTCAAAATTACAACAGGAACTTCAGTATCTCCGAGCTTATATATACATTATGGACGTCGTAATTTACCTTGTAGAGCGGAGCACAAATGCAGTGAAACAGACAAGTGAGGAAGAAGAAACGACTCGAGCGATATATGATGTTAAGCGGGCAGATAAGTATTGCAGTTACAAGCTGCAGAAGGAAACAAAGGGAGTTTAATTAGCATTATGGCATATGCAAAATTAAGACAACTTGAGAAGGTTAAGGTGAAAATCTTACAATAACCGCAAACAGAGGCAGAAGTTCTGTAAATGCTTTGAAATCTTTTGTTCTTGGGTCCATTTCCATGTCAAGGTTTGAGAGGACTGAGCCTAGACCAAGAACAGCTAGAGCAAAAGCAATAAGGAGAACTTGACGATACCCCAACTCATTTCCTTCCTTGAAACCAAATATGAAGGAATAATTCACTCGATATTGCCTCCAATAGTATATGTTGGCTGCGTACATAACCAAATGCAGAACAACAAATCCAAACAAGCTGCATAACATATCAGAGTTCACATATCAACCAATAGAACAGAATAAAGTTCATTACTCAGTAAAGAATGAGAATGTGTAAACAGATTGCAATATGAGTGTAGATTTGTTGTTACCTGTAAAGGGGAAACATGGTTTCCATGTACTTTGTGCTTCCTCTGCTATCCATGATATGGCGAGCACGGATAATTAAAATGAGGGCTAAAACAAGAGCTGCAGAACAGCCAGCTAGAAAACCTGCAAATCATTTGAGTTCAACCTAAACATAAGCTTAAGTGGTACAACAACAAATCATGATTGAAAATCAGAGCAGTTTGAGTTACCCATGGAAAATGTTGTTCTATGTCTCTCTCTCTTGGCTTTGGGTCTTAAAATACTCATCGCTTTGCTGCGGTTGGCGTTGCAGAAATGTTTGATGAATGTGTTCTCAACTCTCTCCATTAACTTGGCAACCTGTAATGGCATTTAGTATATCAGAGAACTTGAAAGGAATAGTTGAATTTAAAATGCCAGAAAAGCTATATCTCACATCATCTGAACTTCCAAGGTAAGAACTATCCACCATTTTCATGTATGCTTTTGATGCGTCTCTTGATGTAATCTGCAATCAAATAACAAATACATAAGAAATAAGGAAGAAAGGAAGGAAGCATTTGTGATGAAATGTTCAGTGAAATACCTTGTCGTATTTCTTCATGATCTTGGAGAAGGCGAGTGTATTCAAGAAGCTGAGTAAATTGCATCAATCAGAAACGATTAGAAATTGGAGCACTGAAAGAACGGATCAAAGAAGAAGATAAGAAGTTTTACCTGAAGCTCTTCAGAAGCCTAAGTTTCTGGTAAAACACAGAGAAGGCCTGCTTGAGCTGTTCTTCAACTTTCTTGAGATTGTCTCTGCTGAAACGTAGGTCGGAGTTTTGAGGGAACTTAAGGAAGCCCTTGATGGTAGAACGAGGTGTTTCAATGGGATTATTGATTTTGACACGATCAAGAACATCTAATGGAGGGGGTCTGACGCCCTTGGCTTTGCTTGAATTATCTTCTACAACCTTTTTATTTCTCGATTTCATGTCGATTTCATTCCCATCTTCATTGGATTCATCAGATTGACCAAGCTCACCAGCCCCACCTTCTTCTATTATCTCCATGGCCATGTGAGGCCTCTCTGCTCATCAACAATACATTCATACAGTTTTTACTTCATCAAATCCATGAAGAAATGAAGATCAGATCAGATCATCAACAAACGTAAACATGAACAAAATACATTCAAACATTTTCTACTTCATCAAATCCATGAAAAATTGAAGAGCAGAACAGATCATCAATAAACGTAAACATGAACAGAATACATTCAAATAGTTTTTACTTCATCAAATCCATGAAAAATTGAAGAGCAGAGCAGATCATCAACAAACGTAAACATGAACAAAATACATTCAAACAGTTTTTACTTCATCAAATCCATGAGAAATTGAAGATCAGATAGCATTCAGAAATCAATGAAATGAAATGAACAAAATAGCATTCAGAAATCAACGAAATGAAATGAAAAACTCACTTCCAGATTTGGCTCCTTTAGGCGTGGAAGCGGATAAAGCAGCGGAAGAAGCCGCAATCCCGGAAGCAAGACGAGTGATCTCCACAGTCTTCTCAGAAATATCGAAAACCAAACCCTGAGGATTCTCAACCTTAACTCTGAAGGCAATCAGAGCATCCATCTGCTTATTCAACATCTCCGCTTCCTTCATAACCTCCTCCACCTTAGATTTATAGAACTTATTCACTTTATTAAGCTCATCATCCAGCCTCCTGAAGTAGACGAGTTCGTACTCCCCTCCTTCATCGGCGGCCATGAGGAAAGTGGTCTTGTAACTGTGGGAGCCATTCTCGTGCGCAGAGTTGACGAGAATGGCCTGGCTCTCGATATCGGAAGTGGGAGTAGAGGAATGAGTGAGGCCGCTGAAGGCTCTGTAGAGAGTGAGCTTGCGCTTCAAGCCGGAAGGGTGAGGGGTGTGAGGAGGGCCACTTCTGAGCTTGAATCGTTGAATCTCTTTGAGAAGAGTTTTGAGGAAACCGTAATCCATGTAAGCCTCGTGCCATTCGGGCACCATTTGGGCGGTGAATTCCTTGCCGAACTTCATGGAGATTGCACGGAGAGCAACGCGAAGGGACTAGGCGGCGTGTTTTCAGTTGAGGGAAGGAAGAAAAGGGAGGGAGAAAGTGGGAAGATTAAGAGGAAGTGGAGATGTATTTATAGAAAGGAGAAAAGAGAGCATTTCAAAGAAATGAACAATGGCGTGCTGCCATGGAAGCTTCGGAGAGAGAGGGAGATTTGAAAGAAAAAAAAAATAATAATAAAGCAGCAGCCTAGTCAGCTACTAGATGTCACAAATTTTTCATTCTCCCTCCAAAATTTACACGTATGTATGTGTATGTGTGTATGCATGCGAGATGGAATTGGAAGCAGAAATAGAACGGGGAATATAATCATGTCCCCAAGTTCGTTTAGAGAATATGTATGCATGTATATATGTATGCGGGACATAATTGGAAGCAGGGATAGAATGGGGGAGACAACCCTCTCTCCGACTTTGTTTACAGAGTATGTAGGTATGTATGTATGTATGTGAGCAGGACAGAATTAGGAACAGAGATAGAATGGGAGAATATAATCATGTTCGAACTTTGTTTAGAGAGCATGTACGTACGTACGTACACATGTGAGCAAGACAGAATTGAGAACAAAGATAGAAGGGGGGATATAATCCTGTCCCTGACTTTGTTTAGAGAGTATGTATGTATGTGAGCGGGACAAAATTAGGAACAAAGATAGAATTGGGGAATATAATCATGTTTCGACTTTCGTTAGAGAGTATGTATGTATTTGTGTATGTATGTGAGCGGGACAGAATTGGGAGCAGAGAGAATGAGAATATAATCCTGTGCGGTTTAGTGTGTAGGAGTGGAAATAAATCTCTCCTTAGTCCGGCTTCATTTATTTTTTTTATTTTTTTTACCTTTGTTGAGGTAAGTCTCTCCAAAACTTGAGCTTTAACATCTATCCATTAATAATTGAAAGGAGACTTTTAAGCGGAAGAAAAGTAAATATTAAAAAATAGAAGAATAAGAAAAAAGGGTTGAATTCAAATATAGGAATTGGTCACGTTCATTTTTTGAAATTTAATTTTTATTTTAATGTAGGGGTAATTTTAATTGGATTAGGTGAAGTTAGGTAAAGCAAAAATGGACGTATGGCTTTGGTGCCTGATATTAAAATTATAATTAATAATGTATTGAGAAGAAAAGTCTGTTCAATGATGGTGGGTTTGAGTTTTATTTTATTTTTTTTAATTCAGCAAATTATTAACATGTCTCGCAACACGTGTTTCCGAATAATTAACAATAACGGCAATGAAAATGAATCTCAAGGAGTAAAATAAATCAGCTTAATCTCTATTTATAATCAAATAAATAAATTACAAGTAATAAATGGAAATAACAATATTTTTACTATATCTAAATATTTTTAACCCACAATACTTTTATCTTTTTTTTTTTCTTTGAAATTATATAATAATAATAATAATAATAATAATAATAATAATAATAATAATAATAATAATAATAATAATAATAGCGAAATAAGAAATTTATTAATATATTTGCAAATTGAAACAATTAACATGAAAATTAAATTTATCAATGAAGAATATTTTGTTTTTCTAGAATGAATTAATCATTGATTAATATATCATTTAAAAAATTAAAATTGGAACAAAATGAAGACGAAGGTTTCAACCCAATTGTTAATATTTAAAAAAGACTCTTTTTTTTTTAAGATAATAAAATAAAAGAGTTTTCAACTTTGAAAAAATAAATGTATATTTAATATTCTTAAGACCTAAATGAATAAAAAAAAAGGGTAATTTAATAAATACACTTCAATGAAATACAATATAATTTATTTAAAATAATGAATATATTTTTAATTTAGATGAAATTTTGATGATATTTTTCTATTGTTTAATTAAAATTTTAATAAATAGTGAATTTTTAAAATTTAAATTCTAAAAATAGAATGGTTTATTACAAATTTAGTATAGAAAAAAAAACTAAAAAGGAAAGAGGCACATTGTTTTGGAATGCGGTTTACGACAACAGTATTCGTACGACAAGTCGTTCTGACAGGCGAAGGTCAATTTGGTAATCTAAATTATTGCTCCATTGTTGTTTTTGTCGGCTTGACAAGTCAGGACGCAGCCATTAATGTGGGTCCCAATATATAATGTTTTATTTTTTTAAAAAATAATTTATTAATTCAATTAATTTATATAGAAACATTTATTTATGAAATGTTAATTCATTGTTTTGTTATTAACGTATAATTGAATAATATTTAAGAAATTAAAAGGGATGATTTTATTTTTTAAAAAATATTTATAGTGGATAATTAAACGTAGCTTGTTTTGACTTGGTCCAACTCATATTTTGAGTACCCAATTTTGACCATTTTTACTTGGATTTTATTATTATTATTATTATTATATATATACATATATATATATATATATATATATATATATAAATTTCATTAGAGTAATATTTCCGACAGTGTTTGGAAGTTAGCTTTTTGTCTTTTAAGGAGGAAAAAAACATTGTTAGAAATTCATGTGACCCTTAGGATAAGGATAAAAAGGCTAACAACGACCAAGACATGCATGGAAGATCTAGAGATAGGGATACAATTTTTAACCACACAAAAGATCAAAATTTATAGACGGGTTGATGTTCTAGGACGACCCCCTATATGACTACGAAGGTCTCGAACGCTCCCTCACTTCGACTAGCAACTAGTGAACACTTGAAAAAGAAATATTGAATGTAGTGAGTATAAAAAATATTTAATAAGCAGTTTACTTGTAAGCTCCTATCGTATCCAAAACCTGATAAGTTATCACTTGGTTTTTTTCATGGAGGCTCTATTTGAGTTTCTGGAAATGCCACGAAGTTTTGAGTAGTTTCTCTTAATCATCATAGAGAAAATCATGGCCTGGAATTGTTCATGTGGTTCTAGCACTATTGATCTACTAGATGACGTGTCTCATTTTTGGGTGAACTAACTTTTCTAATCTTTAAACTTAATCAATCTGCATCGCTACAACAATATTGATACCGTGGGTTGAGGTGTGACCTCGTTATATCTATTTTGACAGTATGACATCAACTGATCTGAACATCATGATGGCGACCTTAACATGGGGTCATAAATTCACACTAAATCTAGGGGAGCAACCTCGTGAGTTGACCAACTACTAAGCTTAGTGGTGTGGTTTCTTGTCCATCTCAGACAGATTTACGACAATATGATCTTGTTCAGAAAGCTCGAGGTTGTTTCTACACATACTAGGGACACTTATCTTGAGCTAACTACCTACGTCGTCCTTATAATGCTCTCAAGACTGGTTACAAATTCTCAGCGTCGACCTTTAACATGTTTCTACATTTAATGGTAACTCAAGTAGTCTCATCACGCTATTCTATCTAGTTGATCTAAGTAAATCTCGAGGACACGAGTTCCTAATTATCTACAACTTGGTAGGGGCACTACTTAGTCCAACTTTGAAGTTTTATACCTACCCAAGGAAATATAAAGTGATCTTGGCCCTGGTCATATCATTCACACTGCTTGCAACTTGGTAAGTTTTATTAGTCATCTTTAGATATCATGGAAGCTTACTAGGTTATTAGAATGTCTAGATGGTTTAAATCTTAAACTCACATTTTTAAGACACTCGAGACTAGCTCCAGGAGCTAGTCTAATTTATGGGAGCACTATAGTCTTGACCACATATTGCTGCCCGCAATCCTAAGGTGTTCGATCTACTGAAAATCTTATGACATAGGTAAACGTGAAATTGTCCTAGCTGTAGCACCCTATTCTTAACTTCATACAATCATGCATGCTTTTTAGGTAGATAACCCTATCAATCAGTTAAATATACGGGAAACATTATCTACATGCAAGCTCAAGTGATCAATAATCTGGAGCATAGATCATAACATTCATCCTCTTTTCTAGCACAAGTAAAACGTTTCAAGAAGTGTACATCTTAAAAATCTCATTCAAAGGGTATTTTCAATAATTATTTTTCACAACATACATGCATGCTTATCCAAACGACTTTTCTAGCGAAAACCAGACAAATGAGAGTGAAATTGGGCACTCAACCGGAGGGCAGTCCATGTGCGAGAGCCCAAGCGTCTAAGGTTGGAGTAGTCGCGCCATCTGCTTGCTTGCGGTGTGTTGACTATTGATACCTTCTCCAAGCTCGTGGTTTGCGTTCAAACTCCCAACGTGACGAATTCGTACAGGTTGATCAGTATGTCCCTATCTTGCGTCAAGGGTCTCACTGAACCCATGCAGCAGTGGCTGGATTTTATTTTCCATGAAAGGTTGATGTATGTCCCTGTCTTGCGTCAACGGTCTCGCTGAACCCTTGCAGCAGTGGCTGTCTTCGATCCCTCTGCACGTGCTCTTGCTATTTAATTTTCTCGATTAATATGATTGTGACACGTGGCCTCCATATACCCAAAATCAGACTCGTTTACATATGGGCCCACCAAGCAGACTCGTATACATACCCCTTGAGTCTGCCTTCGTCCGGCAAAATGTGCTAATGCGTCGCCGAACAACACAGGTGAAAAGGCCCGTATGATATCATGACAAACATAAATATCAAATGTACGCATATGTAGTAACGTAACATAACGGGGAAGTACCCCGATGCACATAGCATAGCATTATGACGCATGTAGGGCTATAGGACATGCGTCATCATACATCACAATTTTTCTAACATCAACACTTATCTGGTTAGCTCAAGCTAGTGTCACTAATTTAACCTTAATGACAATTGGATTATGAACCCATGACATCACTTTCAAGTTCAAAGTTATGTAAAACTATTTATTTAAGATTGTATTCGAATAATAATAAATTGCAGATAAATAAAACTTTTTTTAACAAATTAATTTTTATTTTAACTACCCGACAATCAAACCTGAAAATTTTCGAGTTGGGTTGGTTATCAATCTAACCCACCCGAACTTTTGGGTTGAGTAAAAAAAAATCCCTCAACTCAAATTTCATACCATTTAGAGGTCACTTGTATCATAAGCCAGAAATACATAATTATAGAGGTACTGACTATTACCG